TGGATGAACTGATAAACCCTCGTGACTTTTCTGCTTGATATTGTATTGATATCTTGGGGTGAAATTCTGTCTTGGTCACTCATGGGAGTTACAGGGTTAATTAAACATATTCTTCTCGTCAGCACCTTAGGAAATGTATAAAGAACGGTATGGAGAATATGCAAGTTGATACTGGGCGTGAAGGTTTAGGTGATCATTTCCTGTAATCAACCGTTTCCTGCGTTAAATAGGACTTTTAAAAGCGATGGCGCCCGCTATCGAGGCAAAGAATTTGATAAACTGTATTGTTTTGTGTTTTTCGATGATACCGCCTCCCGGTTAGCCCAATAGATAGTGCGCTGGACTGTTGTGCGGGAGGTCGAGGGTTCGAGCCCCTGCCGGACCAACACTCAAGGTCTTAAAATAATTGAGAAGAATTTGCTACCTTTCTATAACATCAAGAAATGGTTAGATATTCTAGTCTTCTCGGATTAGGACGAATAAATGGAGGTCCCGTCTCCTGCAAGGTTGGGGTAGGAGACGTTAATTTTCCCACACACGAAATTACTGTGTGATTGATGTCCTCCCCTGGGGTGGGATGGTGGGATGTACAGGCCTCCATTTAAAACAACTTCAAGCTGCTGGCCTGTCTAAATATCGTAAATACATATACCATTATCATCGAAATCCTTGCTTTACCCGAATGTTACACAGCTTCGTTTAGTGGGAGAAACGAGACATACAGTATTCCTATCCCATTGCCATACAAATTGAAGGTTTTGGGGTAACTGATTTGACGGTGATGTCCATGTCGTAAAAACCAAGAGAGAAATGGGCGTCTAGCACAGTGAAGAATATTGATTGATTAAGAATACGTTTATCCAAGGTAAAGGTTTATATTTTGTGGACGTTAACAATTGCCAAATGCAATACAAATATTTCCTGGAGGTAGCCACGTTCTGGCTTTTTATGTAAGAAACACCTCCATTAAGCGACCTGTTTCCGTTTACATATTAGGAAACTGGTTTCTTTTTCTTTTCTTTAAAAATCGAGTTCTCGATAGCAAAAGTGAATCTAGAAGAAGCAATGATACTTCGCATTACATAAGAATGCGCTAAGAGTCAGGACCGGGTTGTTCAAAGGTGGGTTAAGATAACCCAGGATTAGTGTAAAATTTAATTTTAGATCTGAAAGCTTTAAAAGAAAATTTAGTTTAATTCCACTTGTCTACAATTTGATGATTGAATACTCTGAAAAGTATTGGAAATTTTTTCCCAAAACGGCTCTTGAACAGAGAAATATAGAAACCTGGATTAAAATTTAACCCTAGGTTAGCGCTAATCGGCCTTCGAACAACTGGAACCAGATGTATAAAAGAATAACAAAAATTCTTTTAATTCTGAGTCAAGTCCAGCAAACTGTGCCTGTTGGTGGCACACACTTTAAATCGTAATCAAAACTACTACGTTGCGGTGAACTAGCTTATCAATAGGCCCTCTAGTCAAGGGTTGGAGAAAGATGAAAACGAGAAGAAAAAGAGCGAGAAAGGGGTAGGGAAGAAAGGCTCCGACGACACCCTTACCCTTACCCTCTCCTCCCCCCCGTCCCCCCTCCCCCTCCCGTGTTGGGTTTCAGGGTGGGAAGATCATGGCCGGGCGGATTCTCAAATCTAAAGCTGTGCAGTAATCGTGCTAAGAACAAGAAGAGCTCAATGCGCGCCAAAGTTTCCCCTAGGCATCCCCGAAGCCCTGTTGAGAATGGGAGGAAGCGGTCCTGTTTTGGAGGCACGAATTTACCATCCTTGTCGAGGAACCGCTCGGGCATGAACGTTAACTTGTCGGGGTTTTTGACCAGTACTGTAGCACCCTTGGGAATATGATAACCTTTTAGAGTCGTATTCACTGTTGCTTTATGAGGAGCTGATAAGGGCGCCAAAGACTAGATTCGCAAAGTCTCGACTATGGTGGCCTCCAGGTACGGTAGGTTCTTCTTGTCCCTGAGTTCCGGCAAACGATCTGCGCCAATGACCTCATCTAGCTCTTGATGTAAAATCTCCTGGATCTTGGGGTTCTGAATAAGGTACAACAGAGCCCAAGCACAAGGAGCTTAAAGTGGTCTCTATTCCGGCCATGAAGACTTCCCCCATAGTCATGATGAGTTTGTCGTCGGTTAAAGATCCTTTGACAGACGAGTCTTCGTCTTCGGCCTCTTTCCTCGCCTTTAAGAGCGCATCTGTCAAGTCTTGAGGAGCTGCAACTCTATTGGCCTCCACAAGCTCTCGATAAATTCTTCCAACCAGTCCGTCTCGGTCTCTGCAGTTCTCTCTTAGATGCTGAATAGATTTGAATGGATAAAATCTGAGCCAAGGGAAAATATCCACTATGCTTCCGGCAGCAACTGTGTTTTCTATGGCGTGCATAATACCCAAGAAATTTGTAAACTCGGGGTCATCTAGTTCGTATCTTGAGCCAAACACCAAGGCACACATTACATTTGTTATAGCCAGTTGTACCTCTAGCAATATCGTGAGGTTGTCCATTTCGAGCGCGGACACGTTTTAAGAGCAGGTCGAATTCATTAGTAATGATAGATTCTTGCTTTCTTCCGCCAGCGCCATACATTTCAAGTGCCGAGACCGTGACCTTGCGATGCAGTCACCATTCTGGTGAGTAATCCGCCAGAACGATCGCCAGTCCCTTCGAGTAAACTTCTGCGGTGAAGAGACTCGGACGTCCAGCAAAGTCGGCCGATTTTTTGACGAGAACTTCATGAAGAGCATCTCCTCCACTGACAACTACGACGAGCTGGCTTCCAAGATAAAGGCGAAATACATTGCCATATTGTTTTTCCAATTGTGCGAGGTCAATATGGCGTGAATCTGCAGCCAGTTTGTGTACACTTCCAATAATCGGTAGTGGAAATGGACCTGGAGGCAGTTTTCTGGTTGCAGTAAAATGATTCACGAACAGTAAAACAAGAATTACCACCAAAGCGAACCAAAGCAGCTCGTCAGGCATGGCAGCAGTTGCGTTGGATTTCTCATCCATCGCGACGTTTAGTTGGCATTGACAAGTAGCGTCAATACAAATGTATTCTATTTAATATCTGGGACATATTCAGGAAATCGCGTCACAATCTCCACGCGATGAATCTAGGGATAACTCGGGTCGAAGAGCAACTCAATTCGACTGAAATGATTCAGTTTTACTTAATATAATTAACGCGTGAATCACGGAATGCGATGACAAGGTCACGCAGCCTCTTAAAATTCTTAATGATTTAACCCTCAAGATTAAAGGCATCATCCCAATATTTTCAACACAGCTGCACTTGAAAAACTATTTTTGCATCTTCTAAGAAGAGGGTCGTCTGCTCGAATATGAAAAGAGTTTACACACGTACAAAGCTAATCAAACGCAGAGGTGGAAGTGGAAAAATTTGAGTTGTAATTTATTCATTGTTTTGCCTTGGATACCGTCATTTTAAGATATTGATTTTAATTATGAGATAGGAAAAAAATTTGTTTTCCTTTCTATTATAGTCCTAGGTTCAAAACGATTCACAGAGTGTATTGCCAATTTCCCTGACTGGTTTCATAGGTGGTGTTCGATGTACATCACAGTATGATTCTTTCCAAAAAATATTTGAACGATTGCGTCAGAACTCCAGAGAAGACAACGATTGGTAAACGGTTTCAGTGAGTCAAAGTTATGAAGCAGGGGTATTTCAAGAGCGAGGGACGCGAAAGTTTTGGGATCTTAGCTTTATAACAAGACAGCAATCCTCTCACTACAAATAGTGGCATCACAAAAAGGCAAACACTCCGTCTTGGTCCGAAAAGCTGCCCCAAATCAAAGCAAGACTTTACAGTATATTACGTCGTAATTTGTATTTTCAGTATAATTTAGTTATATCAGCTCAGTTGAAATTGTAAATTGGCCAACGTAACGAATAAAAAAGGTGACGTTTCAGGCGTTGGCCCTTCGCAGAGCGAATGAAGGAATTGTGGGTTGTATGTGGTTGTATGTGGGTTGTATATAACCCACAATTCCTCCACTCGCTCTGACGAAGGGCTAACGCTCCCAAAGTCAGCTTTTTTATTCGTTACGGTGGCCAATTTGCAATTTCAACTGATTTGATACAACCAAATTACCTTGTTACCCCCACCGACGCAGTACAACAGTTTCTTTAAATAACTTTAAACCTTTATTTATTTTTATTTTCAGTAGCCTCTCTGAACACTGGATCCATCAAACAAGTGCCTTCGCCATCAAAACTTTTTCTCTAGTGATTTGTTAAAATTTTGATACTGATATACCTAAGACCTTAAATATCAATTTAGATGCCAAGAGAGCGGTGAAATTTTCTTTTCTATTCACCGCCTAAGGCTAACAGAGAGAAAATCGATTGCAAGTCATATTTAATTTCAATCATAAATCTTGGCTGATGTTTTTGGTGAAATTTCCTTTTCTATTCACCGTTTAAGGCAAACAGAGAGACAATTGATTGCACGACAAATTTCATTTCATTTACAAATCTTGGTTGATACTCCCTTCACTTCTTAAGAGAAAACTGGGGAATCACACGTCCCAAAATCATAGAGATAAGTGAACTCTTTTTCCCTGAGGATCATTAAGACTGAATTACGATGCCCAGATCGCAATAGCTGAGATTTTTTCCGCGTGGTCACCCTACCCTAACAACCGCATCAAATAACTGCTGACAGGTGGTTATCCATCGGTATGTATGTCTGTCTGTGCTAAAATTAGCATTTTGGCTGCAGACTCACCATGATTGAAGAACTGCTTTGGTTTGTTTTGGTGGTAATTCTCGTTAGGTTGGCCGTGAACCATTTCAGTGCCACCAAACATCTTCCTCCAGGTCCATTTCCAATACCAATTATTGGAAATGCGCACAAACTGGCTGCTGATACACGTCATGTTGACCTCATGCAGTTGGAAAAACAATATGGCAAAGTATTTCGCTTGTATCTGGGGAGCCAGCTCGTCGTAATTGTTAGTGGTGGAGATGCTATTCGAGAAGTTCTCGTCACAAAATCTGCCGATTTCGCCGGACGTCCGAGTATCCACTCGGCAGAAGTTTATTCTAAAGGAAGGGCAATCGGGTTCGTCGATTATTCTCCGGAATGGCGACTGCATCGCAAAGTTACCATCTCGGCATTGAAATTGTACGGCGCTGGTGGGATAAAGCAAGAGGCCATTGTTACTAATGAATTCGACTTGCTTATGAAACGTGTCCGCGCCAGAAATGGACAGCCCCATGATATCACCAAAGAGATACGACTGGCTATCACGAATGTAATTTGTGCCCTAGTGTTTGGCTCGAGATACGAACCTGATGACCCCGAATTCTTAAAATTTACAGAGATCACCAACGCAATATTGAGTATGCTTGCGGCTGGAAACATAGTCGATGTTTTCCCTTGGCTTAGATTTCTTCCATTAAAATCTATCCAGCAGTTAAGAGAGAACTGCAAAGAGCGAGACAGACTGGTTGGAAGAATTTATCAAGAGCATGTGGAGGCCAATAGAATTGCAGCTCCTAAAGACCTGACAGATGCGCTCTTGAAGGCGAGGAAAGAGGCTGAAGAAGAAGACTCGTCTGTAAAAGGATCCTTAACCGACGACAAACTCATCTCGACCATGGGGGAAGTCTTTATTGCTGGAATGGAGACCACTGCAAGCAGCTTGTGCTGGGCTCTGTTGTACCTTATTTACAATCCCAAGACCCAGGAGATTTTACATCAAGAGCTGGATGAGGTCATTGGCCCGGATCGCTTACCGGAACTCCAAGACAAGAAGAAGCTACCGTACCTGGAGGCCACTATCGCCGAAACTCTGCGTCTCTCGTCCCTCGGGCCACTGGCAATTCCTCATAAAGCAATAGTGGATACGACTTTACAAGGTTATCATATTCCGAAGGGTACAGCAGTAATAGTCAATCTGTGGTCCCTTCATCACGACCCAGCCATCTGGGATAACCCCGACAAGTTCATGCCCGAACGGTTCCTCGACAAGGATGGTAAATTCGTGCCTCCAAAACAGGACCGCTTCCTCCCATTCTCAGCAGGGCGTCGGGGATGCCTAGGAGAATCTTTGGCGCGCATTGAGCTCTTCTTGATCTTAGCACGATTACTGCACAGCTTTAGATTTGAGAATCCACCCGGCTACGACCTTCCCACCCAGGTGCCTATCGCGGGGCTGGTGTTGATGCCACAGCCATTCAAAGTATGTGCTTTTTACAGGCATGAAAACTGACAAAAACAGTTGTAGATCTTTTTACGACTCACAGTAAACTATAGCGTTTAGTAAAGGATTATAAAAAAAAAAAAAAAAAAAAAAAAGGGTAAGAAAGAATAATACATTTTAGTACACGTTTTCTTGTGTTGTATCGCTGAGTACTTTTACGAGTCAGGCCGTATTTTGACGAGCCCGTAGGGCCGGTCAAAATACTCAGTGATACGACACACCAAAACGTTTAGTAAGTTATTCAATATCCAAACGCCAAATTGTTATTTCAGTGCGGGCGAATTATCTTAGAAACGTGGATCAATGTACACCAGCCATTCTGACTCTTTGTCGTCGTGATTTAAATTGTCTGCCATTAAGTTAAGTTTGTAGTAGTGTTGCAAACTGTATGATATGTTAATTAGTCTAAACTTGTTTGACATTTACAAGTCATTTCAATTGTCTCTTATATAACCAGTGTACAAAATCTATGCGGCATGTGTTTTATGCCCACATAAGGTCTTGTTCTTAGTACTTTCAGGACCACGTCCTGTTTTCTTCTGTGCTTTTCTTAACAAGCTTCTAGCTCTGAGAGTTGAAGCGCTGTTTTGAAATCATACAATCAAGTGAATAAACGGAGACGTAATCAAAACGTGTGTTACACAAAACTTTTCAAGTTTTGGACAGCAGATTGTGTTTTCTAGGGTCACTCGCTCCTAACGGTTAACAAGTTAACCGCTGACCCCCTCCCGGTTAGCTCAATTGGTTAGAGCGCCAGATTGTGTTGTGCGGGAGGTCGAGGGTTCGATCCCCGGCCGGACCAATACTCATGGTCTTAAAATAAGTGAGGAGAATTTGCTACCTTTCTTTATTCAAGAAATGCATAGATATTCTAATCTTCTCGGATAAGGACGCATGTATGTATGTATGTATAGATGGATGTATGTATGTCTGTATGTATGTATGTATGTATGTATGTATGTATGTATGTATGTATGTGTGTGTGTGTGTGTGTGTGTGTGTGTGTGTTTGTGTGTGTGCGTGCGTGTGTATGTGTGTATGTATGTATGTATGTAAGTATGTAAGTAAGTTAAAGTACATTCCAACACGTATCTAACGGTCACCATTCGGAATGGCTTAATACAGGTTGACCAGTGAATGATTTGTGTATTGTGTGCGCGTAATATTTTTCCTAAAGTCCAAAGAAAAAAGTGCTAACATTGATTCCGGGATAAAAACATGGAATGAGTTTTGCTTGAGAGATCATTCTTAGTTTTAATTGAGTGGTCCCGCTTTTAAGGACCGTTCAATACAGGTGTAAGCCAATATAAACAGAGACTCAGTCAAGGGTCATGACAACCGCTTAATAGAGGTAAACATTACAGTACCCGAGTAGACAAATTTTTCGGGACTTTGAAAACCGACCGCTGAATACAGTGACCGATAATACGGTGTCGCTTCATACAGCTTCGACCTTATACTTATGTAGGTTTAGGAGAGTTGTCTCGGGTGTTTTTAGTTTCTGTCGGTTAGATCATGCCGTGACACCATGGTAACACTACATCCTTTCAGAGGCACCCTAAATTTTGATTTTCAAGTTAAGTGCCTGTTGAGTTTAGAAAAAAACAAAACAAAATAGAGCCAAAAAAAAAAACAAAACAAAACAAAAAAACAAAAAAAACAAAACAAAAAAACAGGTGCCCCCATCTTTTGTTCTATCGCAATTATTTCAAGATTTAATTTTCCCCAAGATTCTTTAACAAAAAAAATCTATACACACAAATGAGAGCCACTTTAAATCATCAATACTCAGCGAAGCTCTTACCTTCGGCTTTTCAAAAAAGAATTCAGTAATCAGGTTTAAGCAACAGGAAGGGCAAAAATAGGAAACGCTAGGTCGTCACGGTTATTTCTGTCAAATTCGCACCCAGTCCTCTCGTCATTGAATGGCAAAGATCTGCAACTTTGGATCGTTTCTCTAAGAATTTTCGTTGTTTGTATAAGCGAGCAAAATGTTCTCGGCTGCACTCTTAAAATTTTATTGCTTTAAATAATGGCATCTACCTTCCATAGATCGCAAGAAATTGCATTATAACTAAATTTATTTCACACATCCTAGTAGGTACTATATTTTAACTCAGCAGCTTACTACTCAAGATACCGTAATTCCTTGCATAAGCGCCCGCGCCCGGGTGCTTATGAAAGTTAAGGCTAAGACGAAGGGCGCTTATTGGAAGGGGGCGCCTCATCGAGGGGGCCCTTATTATTCTCTGTGATTCCGCTGTAATTGAAGCTTTAATAGTATTAAATTAAGTTATGATACAAACAGGTTGTCCTTGAAAGCGAGGGAGAGGAGGGGGTTGGAGGCACTTATTTGAGGGGGATTGGGCGATAAATTCGGGGAAGGAAACACGGTAATCATTTTTGATGGAAACAAAGGGCTAAAAACTTCTAAAAAATATAAAACAAAAAAGACAACACTGAGCAACCTTATCAATAATACAATTTCACATTGACGCAGTCGTCTAAAATGACTTCAAAACCCCTTGAAATTGGTATACAATTTTTTTCTCTTCCCATTGGAATTGCGATATTATAATTTTCTTCCAGATAAATAAGCAATAAATATAAGGAAGGATTGCTAAAGAATATTTTTCATCACATTCCATACGCACGTGTCCGAATAACTTGGCGACATAATTCAATAAATTCATCAAAAATTCTGAGTAAAAATTATTCCTCAAACCACTACTAAATTTTTAAGAAATTCAATTTCTCATTTCAAAAGCGAGTGGGGGAGTGGGTCGAGTCCGCCTCGCAAGTTAGTCTGGGATCGTTACTCGGTACACAAATCTATAGCAAACAAAGATTTGTGTCCCGAGTAACGATCCCAGACTAACTTGGGCGGCGAACTCGACCCACTCCCCCAGTCGTTTTTGAAATGGGGAATAGTTCGTCAAGTAAATTTAGGACGCAGGATACCCTGCTGACCTCTAACCTCCTGGAGTGATTTACCAGTAACTTCACCCTACAAGACCAGTGCAGTACTCAGCAGTCGAGCGTGTAACTCTTTCTCCCTAAAAGTGACCATCATCAAATTTCGCCATACCATATCACCTCCAAAGCAAACATCACAGTCAAGAGAATAATGGAAATGAACTAAAAAACTCACGCAGCTTTGGATTATTAAACAAATTCTCCCTGTCTGTACCATGTGTGGTTAACTGTGGAAGCCTGGCTTCTGCCAAGAGTTTCAGAAGAGATTTGGAGATAGCAAGAATAAACGCGAGTTTAAATCAGAGGCAACTAAAGTTTACGTCAAAGCGGGGGTTAGGGGTGGGGGAGGGGAGGGCGGGGGGGGCTTAAGTTTAAGTTTGTAGTAGTGCCATAAAACTACTTTTAGTGTCGACTTAAACTCACGCAGCTCTGGATTATTAAACAACTTCTCTCTCTCCGTACAATGGAAAGTGGTGAATAAAACCAGTATGGACAATAAGCATACCATTCTTAGGGTGGATATGGCAAAAATAAATAAATAAATAAACAAAAAAGAAATAAAAAAAACACTTAAAAGAGAGAGAATGTTGGGTTGATATAACACCAAATTTTTTTGAGTAATTTGCAGGCATCTAAAAAGCGACCAGAAAGGAGAATTAAGATTCACATTTCGGGAATTCAAGGGTCTCCCTTAGCGCTTGCTTGGCCTCGTCTTCAAGGTTAATACTGAAAAAGAGGTTGGAAAAGTATTGGATGACGTCAAAAATCAATTGCTTTAACACCATGAATCCAATTCAAACACGTGATTGTACAACTGTCAGTACTTCCAGAGGACTTATCGCCACATTGGCAGGTCATCGTTGACGAACTCGTACAAAGTTCCGACTAGCATCACTCCATCAAAATACATTGTACGCACTCGAGATCACTCGGACAAGAGCTAAGCTCTAACACACCTCAATGTCCATCTAGTGAGGAGCACCAGCAGGACGCCAACTCCAGTCGAAAGTACTTCATCCTTCAGTGGTAAAAGAGAAATCACCGAATCGACAGCTAGCGTGACGTTATCCGCATGTACTTCTCTCCGCTGCCAAACTCCCCATCAGAGCTTCCCGCCATGTTGGCTTCGCTTCTCTTTTGCGGCCTGATGCCTGGCTCGTCCCCAGTACCGTGGGACGCACAACCTTCCTCGTGATCCACAGGCTCGGACTTAATGCGGATCAGCGCCGGGCAGGGTGGAGTTCCTCTGTTCTGTGTCCTAGAAGTCCCTCGATTAAAACTTGCCAACGTTTCCAAAGTGCGCTCCAGTCTCTCGCGTCTCGTTTGATGCTCCTCGGTGCCAAATTGGTTTCCAATCCTCTCACTCTTCACCGGTGATGACGTCATACCTTCATTGCTGCCCACGTACGGATCATGAGCGCCTACGTATAAACTGTCACTGTTAACGTGAAGGTGAGGCTCCTGGTGACGTAACATCGACGCCTCAGCCACTTGGAGACGTCGGACTTCCTCGTCAATCAATCGCATTTGCCACGACCAATGAGTATTGTACAAGAACGGTCGAAGATCAAATCGATTGTCGTCCGGAGAGTAGTTTTCTGCGTGGTAAGCTGGTGTCAAGGTTGTCATTTTATGCCGGTTGATCGAATACGCGCGGAAGAAGCGTTTAATCTTCTCAGCCACCTTGGCGGGGGTGTAAGTGCTTCGCCAAGTGTGGATTAGTTTGCAGAACATACTGTATGGTCCGCAACGAGATACCTTCCTTAAGCAGCCGAACATTGAGAGTTCGTCGTAAGTCATACCCATGTCATCCTGCAGAGGAAATTCAAAGTCAATTTTCTCTATGGTCCACTGTGAAAGAGGAGACTAAGAAAAGCAAGATTCGCACCCACGACCTCTCGAGCACCTGTCCCGATGCTCTACCCATTAACGATCGGAGATTTTTGGTAAATGAGGCCATCAAACTATTTTCATGTGCGAAAAAAACCTGCTCCCTTCTGGGAACATTTGGGGCAATGATGGAAATGTGGTATACTTTTAAGCCATGAGAGAGGGCACCTTCGTGATGGGGGACATCCAGGCAGACATATTGCGAGAAACTTAGGCAAGAATAATACGACGTCATCACGAGGAAACACGCCCCTCCCTAGCGTGTCTTTGAACCAACACGCAGTTCCAACTCACACCTTATTCAACTGCGATTCCAGGTTCCTCTCTCTATAAGACGATAGAGTGGCCTTGGAACAAATTTTCACCTGATTTTATAAACGCCTTCTGCACAGGCCAGTAATGAGCAAAACTCTTAAAGGTTACGCAAAACGCTGGAATTGTAAACAAAGAAAATAGTTAGTTCTTATTAACCGAGCGGGAGGTCTGTATGGGAGAATTTTGACTGCGGTCGCCAGTACAGACCGAACGCAGTGAGGTCTGTACCAGCGACCGAGGTCAAGATTCTCCCATACAGACCGACCTAGCTCGGTTAATAAGATGTTTATCATATGGCTGTG